TAAATGACCCTCTTGTTTCAGTTTTCACCAAAAAGTTTAGTAGAGATTGGATATCTAACATAGTGAACACCAGTGAAAAGTGAGGTAGAACGTGAGGCTAAAATAGGGAAAGAACAAGTTAGAAATTACTTAGACAAATTCTATGTCTTCAAGTCACTAGGGTTGAAATGCATCCTAGAATACTCAAGGAGCTGACTGAGCAGATATCTGAGCCACTAGCGATTATCTTCCAAAAATCAGGGCAGATGGGAGAGTTCCAGAGGACTGGAAAGGGGCAAATATAGTGCCAAACTATAAAAAGGTGAATAAGAACAACCCGCGGAATTAGAGACCAGTCATCTTAACTTTAGTATCAGAAAAGATAATGGAGCAAATATTAAACAATCAGTTTGCAAACACATAGAAGATAATAAGGTGGTAAGTAGCAGTCAGCATGGATTTTTGTCAAGAACAAATTGTGTCAAACCAACCTAATAACTTTCATTGACAGGGTAACAAGCCTTGTGGATAGGAGGTGATATATTTTGATTTTAGTAAGGCTTGTCATACTGTCTCGTATCACCTTCTCATAAACAAACTAGGGAAATTCAACCTAGATGGAACTACTATAAGGCGGGTCAATAACTGGTTGGAAGACCATTACCACAGAGTAGTTATCAGTGGTTCACAGTCAACCTGGAAGGGAATATCAAGTGAGGTCCATCAGGGAACAGTCCTAGATCTAGTTCTGTTCAATATCTTTATAAACTATTTAGGTAATGGCTTATTAACTTTGTGGATGATACCAAGTTGGGAGGGATTGCAAATGCTTTGGAGGATAGGAATAAAATTCAAAATGATCTGGACAAACTGGAGAAATGGTCTGAAGTAAACAGGATGAAATTCAATAAGGACAAATGCAGAGTACTCCACTTTGGAAGGAACAATCAATTGCACACATACGAAATGGAAAATGACTGCCTGGGAAGGAGTACTGCAGAAAAGGATTTGGGGGTCAGAGTAGATCACAAGCTAAATATGAGTCAACAGTGTAACACTCTTGCAAAAAAAAAAGCAATCATTGTGGGATGTGTAAACAAGAAAGTTGTAAAAAAGACATGAGAAGTAGTTCTTCTGCTCTACTCTGTGCTGATATGGCCTCAACTGCAGTATCATATCCAGTTCTGGGCGCCACACTTCAGGAAAGATGTGGACAAATTGGAGGAAGTCCAGAGGAGAGCAACAAAAATGATTAAAGGTCTAGAAAACATCATCTATGAAGAAAGATTAAAAAAACTGGGTTTGCTTAGTCTGGACAAGAGAAGACTGAGGGGGATATGATAACAGTTTTCAATTACAGAAAAGGTCATTAAAGGAAGGAGAGAGAAAAATTGTTCTTGTTAACCTCTGAGGATAGGACAAGAAGCAATGGGATTAAATTGCAGCAAGGGTGGTTTAGGTTGAACGTTAGGAAAAACCTCATAATTCTAAGGGTGGTTAAACACTGGAATAAATTGCCTAGGGAGGTTTTTAACAGTAGTTTAGACAGTCACCTGTCAGGGATGTTCTAGATCATACTTGTGGCACCTTAGAGACTAACCAATTTATTTGAGCATAAGCTTTCGTGAGCTACAGCTCACTTCATCAGATGCATACTGTGGAAAGTGTAGAAGATCTTATTATATACACACAAAGCATGAAAAAATACCTCCTCCCACCCCACTCTCCTGCTGGTAATAGCTTATCTAAAGTGATCACTCTCCTTACAATGTGTATGATAATCAAGTTGGGCCATTTCCAGCACAAATCCAGGTTTTCTCACACCCCCCTCCGTCCCGTCCCCCCCCACAAACTCACTCTTCTGCTGGTAATAGCTTATCTAAAGTGACCACTCTCCTTACATTATGTATGATAATCAAGGTGGGCCATTTCCAGAACAAATCCAGCTCTCCAACACCACTTTCTACAAGCCATTACCCTCTGATCCCACCGAGAGTTACCAAAAGCAACTACAGCATTTGCTCAAGAAACTCCCTGAAAAAGCACAAGATCAAATCCGCACAGACACACCCCTGGAACCCCAACCTGGGATATTCTATCTACTACCCAAGATCCATAAACCTGGAAATCCTGGGCGCCCCATCACCTCAGGCATTGGCACGCTGACAGCAGGATTGTCTGGCTATGTAGACTCCCTCCTCAGGCCCTACGCTACCAGCACTCCCAGCTACCTTCGAGACACCACTGACTTCCTGAGGAAACTACAATCCATCGGTGATCTTCCTGATAACACCATCCTGGCCACTATGGATGTAGAAGCCCTCTACACCCAACATGCCACACAAAGATGGACTACAAGCTGTCAAGAACACTATCCCTGATAATGTCACGGCTAACCTGGTGGCTGAACTTTGTGACTTTGTCCTTACCCATAACTATTTTACATTTGGGGACAATGTATACCTTCAGGTCAGCGGCACTGCTATGGGTACCCACATGGCCCGACAGTATGCCAACATTTTTATGGCTGATTTAGAACCAACGCTTCCTCAGCTCTCGTCCCCGAACGCCCCTACTCTACTTGCGCTATATTGATGACATCTTCATCATCTGGACCCATGGAAAAGAATTCCACCATGATTTCAACAATTTCCATCCCACCATCAACCTCAGCCTGGTCCAGCCCACACAAGAGATCCACTTCCTGAACACTACAGTGCTAATAAATGATGGTCACATAAACACCACCCTATACCGGAAACCTACTGACCGCTCTTCCTACCTACATGCCTCCAGCTTTCACCTGACCACACCACACGATCCATCGTCTACAGCCAAGCTCTGCGATACAACCGCATTTGCTCCAACCCCTCAGACAGAGACAGACACCTACAAGATCTCTATCAAGCATTCTTACAACTACAATACCCACCTGCAGAAGTGAAGAAACAGATTGATAGAGCCAGAAGAGTTCCCAGAAGTCACCTACTACAGGACAGGCCTTACAAAGAAAATAACAGAATGCCACTAGCCGTCACCTTCAGCCCCCAACTAAAACCCCTCCAATGCATTATTAAGGATCTACAGCCTATCCTGAAGGATGACCCAACACTCTCACAAATCTTGGGAGACAGGCCAGTCCTTGCCTACAGACAGCCCCCCAACCTGAAGCAAATACTCACCAGCAACCACATGCCACTCAACAGAACCACTAACCCAAGAACCTATCCTTGCAACAAAGCCCGTTGCCAACTGTGCCCACATATCTATTCAGGGGACACCATCACAGGGCCTAATAACATCAGCCACACTATCAGAGGCTCGTTCACCTGCACATCCACCAATGTGATATATGCCATCATGTGCCAGCAATGCCCCTCTGCCATGAACATTGGTCAAACTGGACAGTCTCTACGTAAAAGAATAAATGGTCACAAATCAGATGTCAAGAATTATAACATTCATAAACCAGTCGGAGAACACTTCAATCTCTCTGGCCACGCGATTACAGACATGAAAGTCGCTATTTTACAACAAAAAAACTTCAAATCCAGACTCCAGCGAGAAACTGCTGAATTGGAATTCATTTGCAAATTGGATACAATTAACTTAGGCTTGAATAGAGACTGGGAGTGGCTTAGTCATTATGCAAGGTAGCCTATTTCCCCTTGTTTTTTCCTACCCCCCCCCCCCCGACATTCTTGTTAAACCCTGGATTTGTGCTGGAAATGGCCCACCTTGATTATCATACACAATGTAAGGAGAGTGGTCACTTTGGATAAGCTATTACCAGCAGGAGAGTGAGTTTGTGTGTGTGTGTGTGTGTGGGGGGGGGGGGGGGGTTGAGAAAACCTGGATTTGTGCTGGAAATGGCCCAACTTGATTATCATACACATTGTAAGGAGAGTGATCACTTTAGATAAGCTATTACCAGCAGGAGAGTGGGGTGGGAGGAGGTATTTTTTCATGCTTTGTGTGTATATAATAAGATCTTCTACACTTTCCACAGTATGCATCTGATGAAGTGAGCTGTAGGTCACGAAAGCTTATGCTCAAATAAATTACTTAGTGTCTAAGGTGCCACAAGTACTCCTTTTCTTTTTGCGAATACAGACTAACACGGCTGTTACTCTGAAACTAGATCATACTGAGTCCTGCATTGAGTGCAGGAGACTGGACTAGAAGACTCTCAATGTCCCTTCCAGTCCTATGATTTTATGATGATTTCTTGGATTTTACTTCCTTGAATTTGTAAATCATTAAGTTTTGGGAGTTCCACTGGCCCAATCTGTGTTAAAAAAACACCATAAAGCTAATATCATAGCTGTGTTTTAGCACTTAATTCAGAATAGAGTCTGGAAGAGAATGCAATTTAATAAATGACTTGCTTGCTCTGTTCGTTTACCGTTTAATAGTTGTTAGTTTGATGCTACCTTGCTTCATTCTTCTTGCAAGATTCTTTGTAATTTTATTTTAGCATGGCTCATTACGAATTTTGGGACATATTTGTGGACATTTCATAAGAGGGTAAGTAAGTGAATATTTTAATAAGGTAAGCTCACTCTTTGTTTTTATTCTCAATATTTTGAGATGCATATACTGGGGTTTTTATTATATGATACTCATGTTATAACATTAAAAACTCTTGGAGGCTTGAATATGTATTTTCAGTCTAATAGTAACTTGTCTAATTTTCCATTCCATTGCACAAGTTTTTTGCTAGTGTTTAACTATGTGTTTCATGAAATGAGTATAACAGAGCAGAGAATCAATCCCATCATTCTTACTCACATGCTCCATGTATATTTTTAAATTATTTTTACTAACAATTGAGACCAGTCTATAAAATCAATTATTAGTAGTTTGTGAATGTATAATGTTAAAAACTCAAACATCTAAAACAATTATATGTAACACTTTGGTTAAAATCATGTTTTCAAAAAGACACTAACATGTTTTTGGAAAAATATTTAATATAAAATTAAAATGGCATTTGTTAAAAATAGAAGACCATATTGATTATAAATATTTATTTACAATAAATAAAAATAAATATTTATCTTCTATGCTTGGTTGACAAGAGGACATAACTCTTCTAATATGTCTTTGTGCAAATAACAAACATTGTAATTGCAAGTGCTACCCCTGATGTTATCTGTCCATTTAAAATAGTTATAATTATCACGGTATTTAAAGGTGTCTCTGTCTTCCTGTTTTGTTTTGTTTAGTATCTGATGCTGCCTCACAACTCAACTTGAGAAAAGCTGTAGTTTTTATTAGAGCAGCATGGAATGTTTGAGATTTTTCTAAAGGGAATCCCTTAAAAAAAATCGAAACAGCTGGTAGCATTAACTGTGCATTTAGGCAAATCTTTTCATCAGAAAGGATGCACTATGCAGAAGTAGGTTAGAACAAATCCCAAGCAAAGCCATATTCTTCCTTTGTTAAGCACAGGCATCCCTCACTGATGTCAGCTGGATTTACGTGCAAGCTTATGAGGTCAGAATTTGACCTGCAGTGTTTAGAAAATAATGAGAAAATCTTTATGGGTAGATACATCTACCCTTTACCTTACATCACACAAACAAAATAGTTTTTCAAGAAGCTAATCGTAATACATAGGAGCACGACCAAAGGCGGGGAACACAGTGTTATACATGAATGAGTGGAAGAATGAGTAATGAGGGAATTTATCAATGGACAGCAAAGGAACCCATGGCCAAGGTTTCAAAAATAAGAGCTTGAAGTTAGGTTCCTAAATCCAAATTTAGGGCTCAAATCTTCCAAGGTACTACTGTAGCTGAGGCCTGGCCTGACATGAGTAGCTAACACTCTTCACCAGACCCATCAAAGCACTTAAACATGCTTAACTTTACATTGTCACTTAATTGGGTCTACTCAAATTCTGAGATTTAAGCATGGGGGTGTGTACTTTTCTGGATCAGGTAAGAGTGCTCAGCACTTTGAAGAATCAGCCCTTTTGGCACCTATATAAGTAGCTTGGGGTGGGATTTTCAAAAGCATCTAAGCAAGTTAAAAGCCTATTGCACTAGCTTCCAGGGGTGCTGGGCACCTAACTTCCTTAAATACTTTTGAAAATCTTGCCCTTTTCTTCCATAATGAAGTCTATGGAAGTTTCTGTGTGCTTAGCTTAGTTGATGACCAGGCCAAATGTTAGGAGCCTAACTTCAGGCACACAGCTGGCAAATCTTGGTCCCCATTTTTACACCATGATGCAACTTCTCAGAAAAAATCAAAACAACATTGGGAATATTATGCTATGAACATTTTCATTCCGGGATTTAGATTAATGTTATAGAAAACAAACTGACTCAGGCTGAATTAATGTTTGTTAACTCATGAGATTTAACAATGATGAACAACATATGAAACCTAGTAGCATTTTTATTGATAGCACAACTATAGGCTCCTTATAAAATCACACAGAATTGCAATATTGTGCATGAAATAACTAATTTCTTTAAGAAAATACTTTATTTGCAATAATCACAACACAGAATTGGATTTCAGTTACTGTACATGTATTTTCTTGCAATGCTCTGGCTGTCTATAAATGCTGGATCCAGTGATGCCACCTTTGCTGCTATAAAGGAGTGAATACAGTGTAAAACTGCTGTCAGATCCGGAAATTCAAGTTCCTGAAAGAGGAAGTAAAAGACAAAATAGAGGTGAATCATTAGGGATCCAATCATTTTAAGTAAAGTGAGAAAAAGACAGGTTAGCAAATAACAGTGTTATTTACATGAAAATCTGGAACTTTAAATGGAACTGTAAGGTTAAAAATAATAATCTTAAAAGATCAATTCTCTTACCTGGTTTACTAACAACCCTTGAATTATGACAATTTACTTTTCATTCTTTATGCTGTTTATTTATTTTGCATTTTACACAGCATGACAACTGAAATAGACTATTTAGTTTGCATTTATAAAGCAACAGTGGATTTGTGTGTATCTGACCAAATTTGTTAGGGAAGGGTGACCATAAACGGATGGACATTTTCACAGTGAATACAACATTCACAATGTGTAAGTTTGGAAAGAACTTCACCTGATGTTTTCTATGTAATTCCTAAGTATTACAGTCTATTTTAGAGTGGTTTGATAGGCGTACAAAATTTGGGAAGATGTATATTAATACTGCTTGCTTAAAAAAGTGATGGGCACATAAACTCTAACTCTGTGTGTAAGTCAGAGTTGCTTCTCATCCTCTCTCATAAATTTCCTCCTACTTTTAGGAACTCATACCTTATTTTTTGTCCTTATATCACTTCTTTCTCCAATTGCTACCAGCCAGTAAAGGGATGATATTCTGGTAGAGGAATATAGCTTAAAAATAGGTCAATTTACAGGATACTGTAATCTATAAAATGTCAACCTGGCAAATAAACCGTGGGGATGTTTTTCATTTTGAGCGGAAACATTCCTTTTCAACAGGACATTTACTAAGCATGCTTAGTTACAAAGTATATTCTTTACTCTGTTATAATTCAAAGCACTGGACATTTGCGTTTGCCATAATAGTATTTTATGATCTCTCCTAAACCAAATTGCTTCAAATAGTATATTTGAAACTCAAGGCTGTGTTCTGGAAAAAAAAAAAACTAGTTCTTAGAGCACTTCACCACTGAAGAACATACATTTATTGGGCAGGAGCTGTTTCTCTGTATGACAGAGCATTTCTCTAGAGTTTTCACAAACTAAGAAAAAAATTGTTAAATTCCCAGCCATTCGATTCTGCAACCCTTATTCACACAATTAGTCCTTACTCACCCAAGCAGTCCTATTGAGGTCAATGGAAATACTCATTTGAGTGAGGATTACTCACTTGAGTAAGGGCTGCAGGATCAGGCCCAAGCTTGCCAAGTAGCGCTTTCTGAAAATGAACATAAATTTTCATATTAACGTCATTGAGAAAGACAATGATCATACATTTACAGAATTTTTGACTTTAAGCATCCCAATGCTGTTCATACAGTACTTTATATATAAGGACCGCTTCTCCAACTCTGGAAGCACAGCAGCATGACACAGCTACTCAAAACTGAACAAAGAACCCCATATCCAGCTGAAACTGCAAAGAGCATTGTAGATAAGCCGAAAATACTTGGAATTTGACTAAGACACCAGGGTTGATCCTACCGTGATTAACACCGATACAGGATTTTTAATAGAAACAACAAGGAGTCTGGTGGCACCTTAAAGACTAATCGGTTTATTTGTGCATAAGCTTTCGTGGCTAGAAAACCCACTTCTTCAGGTGGACACAGTTTATCAGAACCTTGGTTTACATCTATTTTTAGATACAAAGTACTAGAATGAAAGACTATTGGAATTTGAAGGGAATATTTCCCAGCATAGTTTTTTTCCTAGATGCAGAGGGATCAGGTTTTTTCTCTGTATATTTCATTGTCCTTATAATGTCTGATTTTTCCATTTGCTGTAACTATTGTATTTCCAATTCTCTTGTAACAACTTTGCTCAGATTCTAAGACTTTTTGTTTCTTTTCAGCAGCTCCATTTTATCGATTTTTTAGCTTGAGATTCTTAGCTTGATGTCCTTGGCAGCCAAAGATAAAGACACAATTGCCCACGTAAACGTCTCACACTCTGTAATACTAATGTACTACACAGCATAGCACATTTGTTTATAGAATGGGGGAGATAGTTGTATTTCTTTTATAAATATATTTATTTCTGTCTATATGATTACTATAATTTGTCTGCTATGTGGTTAACATGAGTTAACTTAGGCCTTGTCTATACTACAAAGGTAGGCTGAGGTAAGTAGCCTTATGTCGACTTGTTTCTGCACGTGTCTATACTTAAATTTATTTCCCATGGACATAAGTGCCCCATTATGGCAACACAGTAACACCACCTCCCCAAACGGCATTGAGCCATGACTGAAGTACAGTGTTTGATGCAGTGCAAGTGTGGATATTGTGCAACCTATAGACTCTAACAGTCCTCCAGCAGCTGTCCCACAATGCCTGACACTGACTGCTTTGGCCACAGTTGTGAACTCCACTGCCCAGGGGTCAGGGAGACCGCAAACCATCCCCATCCCTTTTAAAAACCTTGCATACTTTTGAAATTCCTTTCTCATTGCCCAGCTTTGCGAGCACACCTTGCAGCTCTCCCTTGTGTGCAACTGCCCAACCAGCCATGCCAACTCCCCACTCTAAATGCACTCCTGCCTGAAGTAGACAAGAGGTATTGGATCTCTTGGGCTTGTGGGGAGAGAAGGCTGCACAGGCACAGCTATGGACCAGCTGTAGAAACATAGGCATTAACAAGCAGATTGCACAGGGGATGCAGGTGAAGAGGTACAACAGGAATCAGCAGCAGTGCTGTGAGAAAGTAAAAGAACTACCACAGGTATACCACAAGGCCAGGGAAACCAACAGTCAATATGAAGCCAAACCACAGACTTTTATTATGATCTGCATGCAATGCTTGGCAGAGGCCCCACCAGCGCCCTGAAGAGCACCATGGTTCCTCCAAGGAGCCAAAGACACAGAGCCCCGCAGTGAACAGTGAGGTGGAAGAGGAGCAGGAAGAGGAGGCGAAGGATGCTGGACATGACTGGAGGATCCAGTCATCCTATGAGCCAGCATGTGTTCAAGACTCCACCACAGTCTAGTCAGTCCTGGCAGCTGAGCATGGGCAAGCCTGATGCAGGGGAAGGAACATGGGTAAGCATGTGAATGCATTTCCCATTACAATGTTTAAATGTACAGATGGCATCCAACCCAACTTAACAGGATACAGCTATTGACTTTTTGTTACTTTATTTGTACCGGAAGAGGTAGTTGTACAATAAACAGAGGTAGAGCTATCATCTGCTTTTCATTCCCATGTAGAGTTAGCCAAGGAGGCCAAGAGGAGCTGTTTGTTTATGTAACACAAGGATGGCACTTGAATCCTCTTGAGAGATCTCAATGAAACTTTCATGGAGGTACTCTGCAGTCCTCTCCTGAAGATTTCTAGGGATGGCAGCCTTCTTCCTTCTTTCATGGTAGGACACTTTCCCACACCAATCCGCGATTCAGCAAGCACCATTTCAGTAAACAGGCTAGCTGCAGGTGGACCCAGGCAGCTTTGAGATGTCAGTAGCAGCTGTCCTCTCTATTCCTTTGTTACCCTCAGAAGTGAGATACCAGCTAAAATCACCAGTGCCTGTGAAAAATAGTGCCAGTGCTCAGTGACACTGCCCTGCACTCGAACCCATGGGCTTAGGGGACAAAATTTTATTGTTTCATGCAACCAAACAATTCTCTCCTCGTTCCCCTCAACCCTGCTGGACAATACTCACCATGGCTGGGACTGGAGAGTAGTGCTGTACACAGGCACTCTACAGGACTGAAATGTCCACAAGCATGTTTTGTTTAAATCTTTCGGGGAGCAAGAGAAGGGAGTTCTGAAACTTAACTTTCACTTTCAGTGGTGAATATACAGACAATGATACCTCTGGGTATTTTATCTGTAACTGTTGCTGTTACAGCCTTGACGGGCCATCCCCTCCACATCTGCGGAACACCCGACCATGATAAAGAGGAGAAAGATGAGCAGATGTGAGGATATGTTCAGTGAGATTCTGAAAGCCAGTGCTTCATTGGACTGTGAACAGAGGGCCAGGAAGGTGAATATTTCAGACAGTATGGAGAAGGAAAGACCAGATAGAAGGCCCAAGAGTCCCAGCAGGAAAAGGAGAGAGAGATGCATCAGGACATAATTTGGCTTCTTCAGCAGCAAACACAGATACTGCAGACTCTAGTTGACCTACACTTCAACAATGAAGGGCTCGTCTTCTTTTGCAGTCAATGAAGAACTCCATTTTAGCACTTCCCTACACCCAAAACATTCCATGTGGCTTCAGGGGCTGCATCCATAACCCTAGCACTCCACCCTGGGGGACAGTAAGGATGATCATAGCTTCACATTAACTGACCTGAGAAAACCAGGCTTGCTGTATGTGTAGCCAAAAGGAACTGAAATGGACAGGAAAGTTCTTTCTCCTTGTTAAGTTCTATTCCATTAATTTATTTCAGAAGTTTTCGTTCTATGTGTTTTTTAATGAATTGCATGTTGTTTCTTACACTGACTTTGGTATGCCATAAAAATCTCTTTATGGTAAATAATTCATCTTTATTGCTTCACAACATATGCTTCAGAATGCTTAGTGCAACTGACAGCACTCACTACTTGTTATTGTACACGGTGACAGAACTCATAGGATCAGTGACATAGACGGCATAATAATTATAAATATACAAGAACCGCAAAATTAACAGATGTATTAACAGACAGCGTTATATTCATAAATGTACACCAAGCACCACACGATTCCTAACAGCCCCCAAAACTTCAGGGCCAGGTAGAGCACAGTCCACCACACCACTGTCTGACCGTTAAAGGATTATTTCAAGGCCTTCCTCAGCCACATAGCTCCGTGTCGAGTTCTTCTAATAGCCCTAGTGTCTGGCTGTTTGAACTCAGCAGACAGCTGTTTCACCTGCCCCCTTCACCTCAGTGGCAACTTTTTTCTCTTTGCCTCATAGACATTATGCTGAACACCACAGGCAGCTGTAACCATTGGGATATTTTTCTCCTAGAGATCCAATCTTGTGAGTAAA